TTCACACACCGAATTATCTGCTTAAAAACACATTTAGAAGAGCGCAGATAAGACACGGGACGGGATTTGGAAAAAAGGGATTTTGACAGAAAAAAAAGGAAGTAATCCCAATTCATCTGAAACCCTTTAAATAATAGAAAGGGACAGAAGATTTACAACTCCACATTTATATTCTAATCATTCTAGCTTCAAAACTGAATATAAACATTACATGCAAAACAGCTACGGGGATATAACATCCTCCAGTTCAGTTACCAGTCCATCAGTGTTAACCACAAACAAATTCATCATTTCAAAATGAACACATACTCTCAGAAAAAAATTTTACTCTTAGGGGTCTTGGTAAATTTTTTTTATACTCCTAAAAGATTCATAGTAGTACCTTAAGGATACATATTACTACTCCAAGATACTAATATGGACCTTTTCGGGGTAGATAAGGTACACAGTTGTCCCTTTAAAAGTGCTGCCCCAGTGGCGAGCTGTTATACCCCAAAGGTACAATTTTTGTAAAAAAAATTCTGAAAAGTGTATCATGTGTTTCGACATTCAAGTGCAGCTTTAAAAATGATGCAGGTAGACGGCACTCAAATGCTGAATAAAAGAGGAAATTATACAGTTAAATGTCTGTTAAGATAGGGTCACATTTACCATTGCTCAGTGAAATTTTGCAGCTGAAAGAAAGTGGGACGAGACGTGGCAAAATATAATGAATGAAATATAGGAACAATGATGATGAAAGAAACACTCAAAGCTATTCCTCTTTTTTATGAATTATTTTATGATGGGTAGATACTGCCAGAATGATTCATCCATTGCTAACTTACTTCACCCACACAGAGGTCATAAGTGCTGTAAGTTTTATCATATCATAATTATAAAACGAATACTTCGCAACTCAAAATCCTAATTGGATGAGCCATGTTTGAAGCCACTGTAAAATACACAGTCTATGGTAGACATTCTATAATGTGGCAGGTAGTGACAGTGCTTGGAAACCTTAAATTAGACATTCTGTTACTTGGTGTAAAAAAAAAAAAAAAAAAGATTATTCTGATGTATTCTAGTTTGTTATTATTAATAAATGTAGCTATTTATTGTACATAGGTGTCTTTATCATGTTGCTGCTTGCCATTGTGTTACGTGATGTTACACTGATGTTCCAGAGATGTTATGGTGATGTTACAGAGATATTACGGCACTACTAGATGTTATGGTGATGTTGCACAGATTTTACAATGTTACAGTCATGTTACAGAAATGTTACAATCTAGTTGGGTTGTGAGACTTTACAGTGATGTTGCGGAGATGCTACAGAGATTATGGTGATGTATACAGTGATTACGGCGATGTATGATGATTTAAGATGTTACAGTGATGTTGTAGAGATTTTACAGATATGTTATGGTGATTTTACAATGATGTGAGGTTTATGGCGATGTTACAACAATGTTAAAGTGAGTTTTATGGTGATGTTACTATAGTGACATGGTGACATTAAGGAGATGCTACAGTGATGTTGCAGAGATGTTACAGGGATATATTATAGTGGTGTTATGGTGATATTGCAGAGGTGTTACAGTGATGTTACAGAGACATTACAGCAATTTTACAATGATGTTACAATGAGGTTTATAGTGATGTTACAGTGAGTTTTATGGTGATGTTACTATGATGGTATGGTGTTATTAAGGATTTTACATTGATGTTGCGGAGATTTTACTGAGATGTTATGGTGATTTTACAATGATGTGAGGTTTTTGGCGATGTTGCAACAATGTTACAGTGAGTTTTATGGTGATGTTACTATGGTGGTATGGTGACATCAAGATGCTACAGTGATGTTGCGGAGATGTTACAGTGATTTTTTTGGTGGTGTTATGGTGATACAGCAGAGATGTTACAGTGATGTTACATAGATGTTACAGCAATTTTACAATGATGTTACAGTGAGGTTTATGGTGATGTTACTTTGGTTGTATGGTGACATCAATGAAATGCTACAGTGATGTTGTGGAGATGTTAGAGTGATTTTGTGGTGGTGTTATGGTGATACAGCAGAGATGTTACAATGATGCTACAGAGATGTTACAGCAATTTTACAATGATGTTACAGTGAGGTTTATGGTGATGTTACTTTGGTTGTATGGTGACATCAAGGAGATGCTACAGTGATGTTGTGGAGATGTTACAGCAATTGTACAATGATGTTACAGTGAGTTTTATGGCGATGTTACTATGATGGTATGGTGTTATTAATGATGTTACAGTGATGTTGCGGAGATGTTACAGTGGTTTTACAATGATGTTACAGTGATGTTATGGTGATTTTGCTGAGATATTACAGTGATGTTGAGGAGATGTTACAGTGATTTTTCAATGATGTTATAGTGATATTACATGAAGTTCATGGTGATTTTACAACGATGGTATGGTGATGTTGCGGAGATGTTATGGTGATGTAACTGCTGTGTTTTATGGTTATGTTACTATGAAGGTATGGGGTTGTTAAGGAGATGATACAGTGATGTTTCAAAGATCTTAAGGTGATGTTGCAGGTAAGGATTGTTCTCAGGCACAATATGAAGCAAAGAATTTTGCTTTAAATGAGCACTGTTTAACTGCATGCTGTTTTTGGTTACAAATCAGTTTAAAACGCACATAGTAAATGCTGATACCCTCTACATCCACACATGTCCTGTGAATACATGCATACAAGACCATAAAAAAATAAAATAAAATAAACATTTCCCCTCAGTTCAACTTTTAGTGTGGAACCTGATCAGTGTTTCCCCTGCGGCAGTGCTTGAGATGGGAGTCAGAGAGCAGGTGCCACTTCAGCCATTTAAAAGATTAAATGAGATTTCAATCAATTTTCAATGTTCAAACACCAGGGTGTCTACAGATATGAACAAGTTAAATTTAAGACTTTTTAAGACCTTGTTAATACTGCCTTATGTTAAATTTAAGACCAAACCTGTGATGGAAATACACATTATTTTACATATGTAATATTTAATGTGTTTAATGTAAAAAATATATATATATCCTCGCTGTGAAAAATGCTATTTATTATTATGACATACAGTGAACTTTTTACATCAGCAGACAATATCCCATACAAAATATCCCCACAGAAGCACCGCATCACCGAGATTTTTGGTGGCGTAAACGATTTATTCCGAAGCAATATTTTCATCAGTGTTCTATAAGCTTTTACATACTTAAATCTGCATGTTTTTAATATTTACCCCAGCATGTTATTTACCTTTATAAGGCCAATATTTTTAACCTTATTAAATGCATGCGTCATATTTTATGTCAAATTCTTAAAATTGATCAAGAAATTCAAAATACACTACAGGGCTGCTCCCAAACAAATTAAATAATTTACACTGCAAAATTACAACTGCAGTAAATACTGTTATGAGATTAATGTTTTAAATACAATTTTGAATATACAAATAAGAAATGTTGGGGGGAAATGCACACTCAATTATCAATCGCTGTTTAAATTAAGTTCTACATGTTGCAGCACTTGTCTTTATTTGTGGTGTTTTATTATGTGTGAGCTTTGTCAATCAACAGAACTATTACAATGACATTCCAATGATATATAGTTGTGGATGAAGGCAGAATCTAGGGCTGCATGATATTGGGAAAAAACTCACATTGCGATATTTAGTTTTTCTGAGATATGAAAAAAAAAAAATCACCAGATGACTTGAATAGCTCTATTTGAAAAAAAAAAATCAGTGATTGGGGTGATTTTGTAGGTGAGTAAATCAGCATAGAAAATAACATTATTTATGCTTTATATTTTTCAGGTAAGTCTAATTCAGGTACAGAAATTGAATAATCAAATGTACAATAACACTGCATAGTCTTCACTGTATAAATTAAATCGAATAAATCTGCGTTAAAGCTACAAAAGTGATGTATCTCTGTGTGTTTTGTTGTTTGATTAACATTCATGACACAGAAAGCAACAGGAACATTAAACTGCTGTGAACCAATATACTGTGACACATCCGCTTACCTTCACCTAAACCATAAGCATCTGTGTGTACAAGAATACTTGCAGAGACATGCATTTTGATATAATTTCGCACGTAAGTGTCATTTCATGCACAAATAGACGAAGTGAAGGGAATTGGATGTTCCTGTGCATCTGTGGCTCCGTGTGTGAGCACAGAAAACAGCTCTATTTTACGCTCGAATGGTTTAAAATCGCTTGAATGATTAAACCCACAGGACCTAAAACACCTTCATTGAATGATGAATGATGGTTAAACTTTGCAATTAATCCAAGAATCACCTGTGTTTCGAACCCTGGTACATACAGATTAACGATCACTATTCTAAACACCGCACATCGTGCATATCGCAACATCAATACTGAAACGATATATGTGACCCTGGACCATAAAAGCAGTGTTAAGTCGCTGGGGTATATTTGTAGCAATAGCCAACAATACATTGTATGGGTCAAAATTATACATTTTTCTTTTATGCCAAAAATCATTAGGATATTAAGTAAAGATCATGTTCCATGAAGATATTTTGTAAATTTCCTACCGTAAATATATCAAAACTTAATTTTTGATTAGTAATATGCATTGCTAAGAACTTCATTTGGACAACTTTAAAGATGATTTTCTCAATATTTAGATTTTTTTGCACCCTCAGATTCCAGATTTTCAAATAGTTGTATCTCAAATATTCAAATATAAATATTGTCCTATCCTAACAAATTTATTCAGCTTTCAGATGATGTATAAATCTAAATTTCGAGAAATTGACCCTTATGACTGGTTTTGTGGTCCAGGGTCACATATATCGTGCAGCCCTAGCAGAATCCTTTGAGATTTCCCCCATATGGTCACATCACTTAACCTACTTAACTGAGGATCACCTTTGTTCTGTTTCTCACTAGATTCAGCCCTGCATCACCTGAACATCAGCGAGTCATTGCAAACCCTCAATGGCCCGTCACCCACCGTACGCCGCCACTTTGATGACGACGGCGTGGAGGCCACTGGATATGATCTCTCTGAGCAGCTCGGCCTGGTCTCGGCGCCACAGGTACGCCAGCGGCTGGAGCTGCAGTCTCACACACCTGCAGAGAGAGCCACAGCGTCAAGTGGAGGAATGAGAGAAATACAAAGCAAACCAAGCAGGCGTGGAAGAGGATATGGATGGATGTGAAGAGAAAAGAGGGCGGCACTCCGACACCGCTTCAAAGACAAATTAGCGCTCGCTCTCTGGCTTGGCAGACCGCCACACTCATGTGACAAATGCCAGCGTCACAGGTCAAACCCAGAGCTCGGCTGATTAGGCCGATTAGCATGATACGGTCGTTACGGGCTGTCGGCTATACAGATGGGGTTACACCATTTATACACCATTTACCCCAGGCGGAGGAACAATAGCTGACCGACAGCGGTATGTGTGGCTACACGCTCCGCTCAAGACTGAGCTGGGTCGAAGTGAACACGCATGACATCCTGAAGAGTGCAACTCTGTGCCACTTTCACAACACTGACTGTCTGTTTGAGCAAATGTTGGAAATAAAGCTGGGCGATTTCCCCGATTTTATCGATTAATTCAAATTTAATGTTTTGCCACAATTTTATTTTTTAGAAATTGAGGAATCGCGATTTTGAATAGAAATATTACCAAATGTTAGAATTAGACACTTTGACAATATGCCGGTGATAACAGTAAAGAGAAAAGAACGATCCAACCGCATGTCGGCGCACGTGACATGCTCTGTGAAGGACCATAAATATAGCACACAAAACGCGCTTTTGTGTTGATAAAGATGCGACGCGGGCAGTGGAATAGGAAACACATGCAAGGAGATGGGAGTTAACTTCTTTTAACTTGAGCGCCGTGTTTTTAGAAAGCCGTTTCATGCATGAGACGTGAGCTCAACAGTCAAACACGTCCATGTTTACATAGAAAAACTATGGAAAAGCAGCGCAATCGAATGAAAACCTGTAAAGAACTACTACTGTATGTCTGATATTTCATGTTTGCATCATGGTGACAGGCTGAAAGCTGCGGGTTAATAAAGAAAAAGTTACTTGAATCATGTTGTAGCTACATTTTCAAGTTGACTAGTTACAAATCGTAAAAAATCGAGAATCGGTCAAACGTTCTGAAAAAAATCGAGATTTTATTTTTTTGCCAAATCGCCCAGCCCTAGTCTGAAACAACCTATAGAATGAGTTTGGGGCGGGACTATCTGTTTGACTGACCAATGAAAGACAAGAGGAGTGTTCAAGAAACCTGTTTGAAAACAATCGTTATTTTTGCAATTTCATTCAATGACACTTCTCTACATATTATATAATTATGCATTCAAATTTTTCATAATACAAGAGCATGAAAGCATGACATCTCATTGATTATTACACAACTGTTTAAAAGTTTGAGGGTTTTTTTTAATTAATACTTTTATTCATCAAGGACGCATTAAATTGATCAAAAGTGTCAGTAAAGACAATTATAACGTTACAAAAATGTATATTTTAAGTAAATGCTGTTCTTTTGAACTTTCTATTCATCTGTGAATCCTGAAAAATAAAATGCATCACAGTTTCCACAAAAATATTGTGCAGCACGACTGTTTTCAACATTGATAATAATCAGAAATGTTTCTTGAGCAGTAAATCAGCATATTAGAATGATTTCTGAAGATCATGTGACACTGAAGACTGCAGTAATGATGCTGAAAATACAGCTTTGATCACAGAAATAAATTACAGTTTAACAGAGATTCACATAGAAAACAGATATTTTACATTGTAATAATATTTCAGAATTTTAACTGTATATTTGATCAAATAAATGCAGCCTTGGTGAGCGGAAGAGACTTCATTCAAAAGCATTACAAATCTTCCTGACCCTAAACTTTGTTTTAAAACACAGGTAGATCAAATCACACCTTGATAATGTTCTATAAACGTGTATTTTATGTATTCACTCCAAACACTTAGTCTTAGGTTTAGTCGTTAAGTTGAGTTTGAAGAATAGAGAAAAAAATAAGCCTGATCACATTAGCATTTATCAATTAATTTATTCACCAAAAATGATGTGTGGTCCTACATGCTTCTTTTTTTTTTCTTTTTTTTTTTTAACACAAGGCTTTGCTATATTGGCTTATTGTTTTGTAAATCACCCAATGACATACTGTGGTCTGTCCAGTGTCCTTCAGGTGTGAGAGAAAGAGAAAGGAGAAGCAAGAGAGCACTTACACATTTTCCACACGCACTCTCTGGTAGTCGGACAGAATGGCCCCGACAGACACGGCCTCAACACGCTCCTTCTCCCGAAGAACGAGAGGAAAGCCAGTCACAGATCTGAGAGGAACCCTCTCATGTGGTGCGTTATTAAAATATTAACAACAGAGCCCAAACTATCAGATTCAACTGCTATTTATTTTCAGATGTAGTAATCACACTGAAATGTTTTTATTCAACTCAATTTCACATGGTTTTTTTCTTCGATTTATTCAAACATACATAATTAACAGTAAGCAAGCTTCCGCTAGTGATTTTTATAGCTATCTAACCAACTGTGGAAACATGCAATGTTAAGCGACATACTGTTCTCAAGCCGTTTTACTGACATCTTTCCATAAATGATTACATGAGACATTTCAGTAAGTCGTTCTGTATCTTTCTACACTTTCTGAAGTTCACTCATGTTCATTTCACGCCGCATTAAACAGCATTTATAGTCTGTGTTTCGTGATAAAATAACCAGATATGAAAGCTGAGACTTTGTTTCTTATCACAAAGCTCTCTGTGATTATTGGATTGGAGGTGCTACAAATAATGTTCGGTGAAAAGGGAAAACTGCAGACCTGGTAACCCTGGCTTGAACTATGGGTAATGTATAGAGTCAAATAGAACCTGCGGTAGCAGCACTGATTTTTAAAGTAAGATTATGTCAATGTGGTATTAACGTTAACTGCACTAAATTCTACATAAGAGACATTTTCTTTATGAGTTGCAGTCTTTTATTGATTGGCAGGATATAATCGGCTGTTTATAAACCCATCGGCTGACGTCAGACAGTGCTTTTATCAGCCAATACTGATCACTGGCTGATATATCGGTGCATTCCCAATATATCTCTCTCCTGTACATCCACATTATCCTCTCAAACACTGAATCTGGAGGACCTCCGAGCCGTGTGTGCAGCTCAAACTTCAGACATGAACACGGCATCAGTGCTGGAACACCGCTCAAGCGCTGTCAGACGCTCATGCCTTTGGCAAACCCAGATAAGGCCTATCGCTTTCCATCAGCACTAAACTAGATTGAGCAAACTACATTAGGCAGAAAATACAAACAAATTACAAGAGCTTTAGGCTAGACTCTTTATCTGGGACTGGGAGTGTGTGTGTGTGTGTGTGTGTGTGTGTGTGTGTGACACACACACACACACACACACACACACATCTGACATGATCCGAGTCTCGTTCAGCCGTTCCCATGAGGCAAACAAACAGCAACCTCACGCCGTCTAAATATGAAATCAAACCCTGTGTGCTGTTATTTATTCCCATGAGCACAGAAGAACTTCTGATGAATCTTCACGCTGCGCATTCAACGGACTTGTGCTTCACATTCAAGTCTCCTCTGAAGTCATGTGAAACTTTACAGAATGACATTGTCATTATTCACTAACAATTAGGCCTGTGCATCATGGACGAATCCATTCAATTCACAACTCACTGGGTTTTGATTCAATTTAAAAAAAGAGCAAATTCAGAACAGTTTAATTTGGATTCATTTGAAAAGCGGCTCCGCCCCTGACGAATGTTTTTTTGATCATTACTGATATTCACTCTCCAGAGAACCTTTCTGCGCTCGTTATGGTTCTAATCTGGACGAAAAACCTAGGGCTAGTTCGCAAAAGTAGGTTTTCAAAAAAATCCAAAATACCCGAAAGTGACGGTCAGATCGGAGTCGTGAGCCAAGGATTCCAACGACATAACGGTTTAGGAGTTCTGAGTGATTTCGTACTTCTGATCGCTGTAGCGCCCCCGTCAGGCCGATCGGGGCGAGCTTTGGTGATGTTGTAGACGGTGTGAGTACTACCATCCCTCCAAATCTCAAGTCTCTACGATTAACGGTTTGGTCTGCACGATCACTTTTAGATCAGTTTAATGGCTCCTCGGCCATTATAACAATCACAATGGGTTTCAATGGTACACACTTGAACCCCTAACTATTGATAACAATGTAATGTATCTGTTTGGAACGACACGAGGCTATAAATGATGACAGATTTTTTTATTTTGATTCAAATGTTTGATTCAGAACGGATCGAGGCTGACGCTGTGATGTAAATGTCATGTCGACAGTAATCAAATAAATGTGGCGGCTGTGGCTTCAGCTGGAGTTATTTAATGAGACGTTCCTCCGGCGGCAAACCCGCACAGGTAAAGCGCTCTTCTATTAGCTGCGCTATCGATCGCCGCCGTCCTGGGAGTGACCCGAGAGGTCATCATTTATGTATTAAGCAGGTTTAAAGGTATCCATTTCTTTTTATGTTCTTTTTCAGCAGTAATGTGGAAGTAATCAGAGACGGGTTTGATTTCTCTCTCTCTCCTGCACTCCTGACACCTCCAGGCATCGATCGGCGGTGCTGTGGCCCCGTTCCTGTGCCCTCGCGGTGGGAGAAATCCACCTTCTGAAGCCGCCGGATGAAAGTTGGAGCGGAGGAGAGAAAACAAAGGTGTGTTTGGAGGGCCTGACGGACCCCGCTCTCGAGGGACGCTCGTCTGTCGATACCGTCTGTCGGCCCGCGGGGCTCCTTAAAGAGCAGCTTAGCTCCGCCTCTGATTGGTGTGTGTATCTTACACGCTCCGGCGGAAGCAAGCGTTTGAACATCTAAAGGAGACGGAGCGCTGCTGAATCTCAGGACATGAGCGTGTGCACGAACACAAGGACGATTCATGCACACTTTCAGTCTCAAACTACAGAGTCAAAGGCTGCACAGAAACAGAGTCATACAGTTTTTAATGCCATGTGTGACCCTGGAGCACAAAACCAGTCATAAGGGTCAATTTTGTGAAATTGAGATTTATGCATCATCTGAAAGCTGAATAAATAATCTTTCCATTGATGTATACCCCAGCGACTTAACACTGCTTTTGTGCTCCAGGGTCACACATCAGCAAGTAAGACTATTTTCATGATAAGAGCTGAGTTAGTTAGGATAAATACAGTAAAATAAAAGCCAAAAATACAGCAGTTAAGATTAAGATATTTAACATATGACAAACATTCTAAACGTTTTCTAGTCAAATCTGATTTTCTAAAGTGAGCTTATTGAATAAAAATGTTGTCCATTAAAAGCAGGACAGGTCGATAAAATATGTTTAATGGAAAGGAGGGATGCATATACAGTCATACAGTACAGTGCACATACAGTATTTGTTGTTCACAGATCATTATATTTCACACAAACAGAGCCGTCAATATTTGTCTTCTGTTTTCTGGCATTAAACTTCACTGTTTTCTTCACAGATCTTGAAAGCACTGCTGGCACACAAGCTGTGTTTTTGATGTGTGAAGATTTCATCTGCTCTATTATTCTCAAAACCAGTCAGAATTATGTCTGGTGATCGCTGTAACTAAACCAAACAAAACAAAACAAAACAAGCAAAATGACAAAAATGCAAAAAAAAAAAAGTTCATGAATTTCAAGTTTTGTGCTAATCAGTTACATTTCAGATGATTCTGGGTTAAAGATTAGTGCTAAAATAGTCCCTGGCTACATAACATTAAAAGGTTGAAATATTATATTTTACTAACTTTTTTTATTTTTTATTTATTAATAAACAATGAAGCTCAAATGTGTGACGCTCTGGGTTCACCGTATTTGATGCTGAATTTAAACTTCAAACTTTAATTTTGGGGTGACTTTTAAATGATACATAATATCACTATGCATGATACAATTGTTGCACTTTTGTACTGCAATATATTGTGGGATGATACATTATTACACTCTTATGAAATACTGATAAAGCCTGTAAGAGAAACTTGGACCATGTAAACAAAAAGATCTTAGAGAGGGAAATAGAAAGGTTTTTAGGAAAAACAATATTTTAATTAAAAAAGCTCAATTTAGACTGAATATAAACTCCGTAAATGGCCCAATGTAGTGTGTTAATATTAAGGAATATACTGTACAACGCCACATACATTCACATCACATGTTACTCAGCCCTAGAGTTACACTCACGGCACACCGCACTTATTCACAATCACAAAATTCTAAAATTAAAATCCTGTCTGTATTTACTCACTCTCATGTTGTCGTAAACATGTATTCATTTATTTCTTGTGCTGAACACAAAAGTAGATATTTTGAAAAATGTGGGGAACCAAACGGTTGCTGTCCCCCATTGACTGAAAAAATATTCTTCAAAATAACTTTTATGTTCAACAGAAGAAAGAAACTCATTCAGGTTTAAAACAACTTGAGAGTGAGTAAATGATGACAGGATTTTCATTTTTGGGTGAACTATCCCTTTAATGTTAATAAAACAACAAAACACAGAGAAATCACTCCCTGCTCTCGACTGAAGAACTTTAATATAGTTGCTTTAATAAGAATCAATGTATGGTGTTTTATTTTTATGTGTTCATTCTATTTCTTGAATGCTACTGCTACATACACCTACTGTACCTGAAACATAAAGCACTGTTTGTTTTATTTATATATTATGTGTGTTTGTAATGTGTATCTTTGTTCTTTTTTAATAACAATGATAAAATAATGACAATGATTTTTTTTTAATCTTCGCCACTCTGGCCTAAATGTCTGCCATTGTTTTTTGTAATGTTTCTTTTTTAATAACAATGATAAAATAATGACAATGATTTTTTTTTAATCTTCGCCACTCTCGCCACTCTGTCTGCCATTGTTTTGTATATATATATATATATATATATATATATATATAGATAGATAACTTGTAAGGCTTTGTTTTTTAAAATAGGGAAATTAGTTTGGCTGTACAACATGAATCGTGATATTATATTTTTGCCAGTACAGCTCAGGATCAAACGAATCACTCACATTACGCACACGAAAGCCTGAGACACATCCTCACCACACATACACAGCCTTCCTGTTGAC